ATATTGTCGTATTTTATCATTGCATATTATATGTAAAACATATAACTATAACATGAATAGAATGCGTTATTCTGTTATTCTTAGAAAAGGCGGGGGGTGTTTATTTATATCCGAAATGATAAGCGTTATTCTGTTATTTTTTTATTGACTTTTCAAATTTATTCCGTTCGTTCATATATTTATTCGTAAACGTCTCCTCTTAATAATATAAATATAAGCATACAAGTAAGGAACACCTATATTAATGAATTTATATTTATTAACTTCATTAAGTTGAGTACAGACATCGTCTTATATGCATAATAACCTGATTGTCAAATATATCGCGTCTCCTGAAATGTTGAAGACCAAAAGGCCATAATAGCGGACGTTAAACCTGTTAAATACATTATTAATAAAGTCAACTTTATATATTGGAGTGTTGCTATTACTGACCTTTATAACAATGGATGTTTGTTTATTTAATTTTTTTAACTTGTTAGTTTAGAATTACAACACAAAGTTGTTTATTAATGAAGAAAAATGTATGATCGACAGCTGAAGCTTTTTTAGTTTAGAAGTACAACACAAAATACCATAAAGCGCGCTGAGTTCGCGAATAAAAATTGGTCCCACTAGTCGATGTTTCACAAAAAGCCGTCACGAAAAAATGTACACAGTACCTATGGAGTAGGTGCGTTGACCTGCATAGTGCGATATCGCATCCTGCATGCTTTATTTAAAGTCACATCACAGAAAAATGAATTATCATTTCATGGATCGCTGAATTGTCTAAATAGGACATATATTGTAAATGTGTCTTCTCACTGAAAAGTCTAGAAGGATAAGTATTGTATGAGATACACACCGACGTTACATGCATAGAAATGCGTAGTTGGGAGTTCAGAGGTTAACAGTATTTCGTTAAAGTGAGGTAACTTTATTGTATCTCGCTAGGCTCTGTCTCTCTGTCTCTCTCTCTCTCTCTCTCTCTCTCTCTCTCTCTCTCTCTCTCTCTCTCTCTCTCTCTCTCTCTCTCTCTCTCTCTCTCTCTCCCTGTGTGTGTGTGTGTGTTAGGATGTGTTAGGGTGTGTGTGTGTGTGTGTGTGTGTGTGTGTGTGTGTGAGGGTGTGTGTGTGTGTGTGTGTGTGTGTGTAAGGGTGAGGGTGTGTTTTCGTGTGTGAGTGTGTTTTGTTTGCGTGTGGGGAGTGGGGGTTATCGCTACATGGCAAAATATTCACAAAGCTCAATAACCAATTGATTTTTATGTTTTGTTTGTTTATAACTGTCTTAATATGTACCAAATCATCTGTACACACCAGCATTGACTTTTTTCCGACCTAAGAAACAAGCATTCGTCACGGCTCCCTAAATTGATAGACATGCTGATTAAAAGTAGGATTTGTAAACTTAAAACCAAGCGTCTCTGGAGAACAATTGAACATTTTGTGAAGTAACTCCTAGATCATGTTAACGCTATTGAACGTTAACACGCCTCTGTTGGGATAACAGAACAATTAGTTGTTAAAGTCTGTGTAGGATTTTGTTAACGCCCTCATGTACAACAGGCAGAGTGGCGTCTGGTTAAAGTGCGTGCACGAATTATGTATAATTCAATGAATGCACATTTTATCTTACACATCCCAATCAAAACCAAAATGGATGAATACACAAATACTACGACATATCCAAGTTGACAGAATATCCGGAGTGAATTTAATATCAATGTACTAACAAGATGCATTCAAAAATAAACAGTTTAAGTATGAGTGAGGGAATGAATAAATAGTCCAAGCACGGTTGTAATGTATTCATTCTGTACAGTACAGCTAATTCAGGTCTCAAATACCAAACCTTATTCACAGTTGGTTTGCTTCAACAACCTACAGTGTAAACATTTCGGAAATGAGTCGATATAAGTGACACTGTTCCAAACATTAGTCCGAGAGTTCGACAACTAACAGATAGAATTACTATACAGGGTTTCGATCAAGTCGTTGAAGATTATTGCGAAGCTTGTCATACTTGGTGTTGCTATTGGTAACCATGTCCTTTTTTAACTTGATTTACAAGATGGGCGTGGTTGAAAAACAATACACATTTGATCATATTCCCTTTGTATTTGTTAAAGAGTTTCTGTATAGATCCTGATTTTTCACTTTCGTTGCTCTCGTTACATCAATTAAAATTTGTTGATTTTTGACGATCAACCATCTTAAGATGGGAATTTATGGGAATATATTTCAATTTCTACCCAAATCAGAGTCAATGTAATTGCTTAATGTGATCTGTTTCATCTACCAATGAATTTGACCAGATTAACATTACCAGTGCGTATGAATACAAATATTAGGAAAGGGGTGAAAACTACCCAATTTCTACTAGATTGGCAATATACCACAAGTATGAAATTTAAAAAAACGAAATGAAAATTTAAATACTTTCGAAAACTATTTTTTAAAAAATCATCTCATCGTTTCAAGCAACTGCTGGTTTCTTGTCCAATTCAACATTTAATAACTGAAACTTTACGTTTCAAAAGATGTGAAGCGACTGAAGGCTGATATTTCTTGTTCTCCGCTCCGGTGCCTGTAAATAAAATGGCCGACACCGCTTCGTTTGCGAACCGGCGCACCACGTCTAGACGTTATTCCTCCGCAGGGAAAAATGCATACTGTCTTTGTTGCACACTATTATTTAAATTTTCATCAAAGTTATCGAAAAATATATTTAATTTTGTTCTTATTTAAGTTTTATTGAATATTAAGTAAACACGCTGAAATATATTTCAACCTGTCTCAATAATCTGTCTTCAAATGACGGACAACTTGCTTGTATTACGTCAGACGATATGATGACAAGAAACGAAAATGAAAGTAGAAGATAAATTGAGTCAGTTCCTATGCTATAGGAAATATAAGGATGGAATCTTGCTTGTGTCGATTTCATGGGATAATGAATTGAGTTGGTCTTGATACAAATTCAACATGAATTGCTTCGCAGTTCATTAAATTTAGATGAATGGGAATGATCGAGGTTATGAAAAGTGCAAAATAAAACAATATAAAATCTATAATAAAATCCGATATAGGTAGAAATATAGATATAAATAGAAGTTTGACGATAAAACGTGATAAAGAAACTTGACATCTTGGAATACACACTTCTATAATATATATTGGTATATAGATGCTCCTGAACTTTCCCAGTAAAGATATTCACTATTGCTGTGTAATACGCCTGAAAGTGACAGACGTCTTTATGCATATGCTTTTAATATTTTGTTTTTGTCATATTTTTTATTACCATTATGTTCTAAATGTCAGTTAGTTTGGGGAAAGGAGAATACGACGAGAAAAAATATTCGCCTAACTAATTCATGATGACCAGAAGGACAATACATTAGTACAAAAAATGATCATATTATACCTTCTGACGGGAAAATGACGTTGAGCTGTCGCAGCCATTCAACATGACAATTAGAGTTACTATCGACACAATCATTAGGGAATTGTTGACAAATACATTGACGTAAATCCTACGTGGTAGACAGTAACCATGACAATAAGTAGCTGAATGAAATTACAATCTGGAGCAACTATTTAAGAGTCGATTGTTCTTGTCTTTTTTCTATACTTTCATGGTAGCTAATTGGAAAACGTTGATGAATTTAGTTTGATTTTGTTGTTTAACTTTAAAGTTGTGTCAAGATTAACTTTTTTTCCTTTTTTCTTTTTGTGTTTTTATTTATTTTTATTGGTATGAAATTTTGATTTACATAATGCATATGTCTGTATTTCCAGATCTCAAGACTCGACGCCCTGCATGAAGAGCGAGTGTACCGTTCGATTGATAATGTTATGTCACAAATAGCTACTAGGTCTCCTACTATGAAAGCTCTTTCAGAACCACCGAAACCCTACCAATTTTATTAGTCATTATTTCCAAAATTATTCCTTGGTTACACTATCTATAGGATTAATTTTCAATAATAGAGTACGAAGCTTCAGAACAGTAATCGTTTTGTGAACAGAAGTGGTGAAAGCAAAGAAACAGGAGATTGTGAAGAAATGCTCAGAGCTTTTGACCTATTCAAAATAAAGAAATTCCTTCATTCTCTTCTGCGTTTTCCCAAGAAAATCGAACAGAAAAAAGATGTTTGTAAACTGCACTAAAAGAACTCACTTAAAAAATTTATGCGATGTGAAGTTTGATTTACTTCATACATTCCGATACGCTTCATTTTCAGTATGAAACTTTCTTGTCATGTTTAACCTCTCTAATGCATGTATTCAGCACTGTTATACAACTGTATTGGAATACCATTAGTGAGTTCTTTCACACAGCGACGTCCTATTTGTGCAGATGCAAATATAATAGTGCAAAATAATGCCCTGTGAGCAGATTAATCCTTTATTCAATGATCCTGAAAAAGTCTGTTCAACATATACGAACTTCCGAGTTTATGATGTAACGACTACAGGACATCATTTGTAAATGTGATCTTATTTCATAGTGTTTCGTGTTCCGGCGATAGACCTCTATCACATCAAAAAGACGATGCATGACGGACAAAAGGGTGATACGTGACCGTCAAAACTGTGCTGAATGTCCGTAAAATTTTATTTTCATTTTGTTTTGGTTTAATTATTACCACAATTGCTTTGTTGTTGTAAGCCAAATGCCGAGAATGCAATGCCAAACTTGTTGGACATAGTATACGTGTTCGAATCTAGTGAATTATTTTACTAAATTTAAAAATAGAAATTTCATCTCTAAGACCAGATGTGAATGAATAAACACATTTAAGGTTAAAGACGGACCTCAACTCCTTGTCTATTGCAATAAATTTGTAACAACACAGAAAACATTACACAACATTTATTTATTATCTAGTTATTTCATAACTGTTGATACAATGGAATGTTCACATGTTCTTATTTATTTCTCATTAAGTAATAGCATGCATGAAAATATTAAGGGAGATTCATTTTTTTTTTCAATATAAAACTACTATTTCATCACAGTCTTAATTTAAATGGCTCCCATTTCAAAAAGTTCTTATGTTTTGTTCCTATATTTTTCTCGTATCCATATAAAGTAAAATCAGGATGGAATATTGAATTGAATTTCTCCAAGTCTCCAGAAGGAACAGATTCATAAGCAACAACGACTGCTTGTTCTCTTGACAAATCCTTGTCTGATTTTGTCATTGGCAATCGTTTCATCTCTTTAACAATGAAGTCTTTAAAACTGGATTTTGTTATGTTACTGTTCTTCTTGATCATATTGTAAGGAAAATCTGATAAGTGACTCAACACTCCTCGTATCTGCAGAACTTTCCATGCTCGCTCAAGCGCTTGCGGAAGAGACACACATTTAGGTTTGTGTATGATAACATCATAAGCTCTATTTACTGTCAGGGATATGGCCTCGTTTTCGTTTCCCTCGTTCATTTTAGAAATGTCAATAATTTCATCGAGGTGTTGCCTTCTGAGAATTTTCTCAATGTCCTCCTTGAAGGTTTCAATTTTTCCTATGACATCATATTGAAGGCTACACGGACGGCATGCGTCATACATGGGATACCAGTGGGGGTTCCGATTTGTTCCGGAGATTTCCGATTTGATCACGTGTTTGATAAATTCGGGAAATGTACTGTCGTGGCCACATTCCCTGGATTGTTTTGAAACATGCTGCCGGTGATTTTTCAAGATGGTTTTGCCATGACTTCCCCAGAACACAAAGTTATTAGTATAAAGTTTATCAACATAGCCAGAAAGCATCCGAGTGTAAGGATGTCGTACAAACATGAACTTTGTTGAATTCATCAACACTGCTAGCGCCTTGTCATATGGAATTGACACAAATGTGTTAAATGGAATCGTATGAGCGGCTGACGCTTTTATACTGAATGGATCCTTCACATGCCTGTGTCCATACACAATGTGAAGAACTTGTTTCAGAAAAGTTGAACCGACTTTCGGTATATCACAAAACACTAAGTTAGTTTTGACGTCATAAATCATATGTCTTTTCATTTGTGGTTCTGGCAGAGTTCCGGCGTAGTTCTTTCCTAGTGTTTGGCATTCTTTAAGCATGTTTTTTCTACGTTGAGATTGCACTGGATCAACGAAGGTGTTTTCAAGATAATTCGGCACCTGGAACAAACCAATAACAATATTTTAGTTGTGAAAGGGCAATTTTACACTTTCTGATACTGTATTACTGGTAAGGTTCACGGATCATAACTTTCGGGAGATTCTTTTAAAAATAATCGATTTAAAGTTGTGCAGATGAGAATTTCGCGATTCGGACGCAAAGGACATCGAATACACATGTGAAGCATTGTTTCACTGATACAATTTTCGCGATCACCTTAATTTAACGCGAAATAGTGAAAATACAATCACCGCAAAAATAACAGTCTATACGTTAATCTGATCCTGTAACGTGAAAAATAAATTACATATTTACACGAAAACCCATGAAAAAAATAATAGGAGGAAAAGACCAGGTGTTCCGGAAGAGTAAGCGCCTTATGCTTCATTGACGACACCCAACATGTATGCAAATTTTGGTCATTACAGGTAAAAATTGTGTGATCAAGGTATACAACCAAGGAAACAACATGCAAACTAATTAAACATATGGTAAACAATCACGTACCTCTCTTAATCTCTACACTACTTCATATTAATACTAATAATCAACGTTGATAGATGTGAATGGAATTTGTGCAATGAAAAATCACAAGAAATAACCAAACTATCTCGTTCATTTGTTTTTGGTATAGATTACTATTGAAATATTAACACAGACCCTAAAATTCACATATTCCAGAAACGTCACTGCTTCATCAATGTTTGGTTAATGTGAGTAAGTAGTGTCTCATTTTCAAATGAGAGCATACATATATCGGATATTCAACATTTTAGTCGATATAGTATCATTATACACGTACGTCCTGAAATGATGAAGGGTCGGATAGACAGCTTAACCATGATTAAAGAAGCAGTGATCTTCACAATTCTAGGTAAGTCGAAAAACATACTTACTTTCGTTGCTTCCTTGTTGGCAGTACTAGTTCCGCTGCAAGCGCAGTCTGCTGCGTCATTTTTCACATCAACAAAAGTTAAAGGTGCAACTGCAACTTAAATAAAATCAGATCATCAGCAAAGTACAGATATCAACTTCTATTGTAACTACAACATCCAAAACAATCTAAACGCTTGTTTGTTTGTTTATCGCCATTCTCAATACTGCAGGGATTTCAATCACTTTAGCTCTCTGCACCGCACTTCTGGAAAATTAAATGGCAAAACTGAAGGCACGTGCGAAGTAATTTAAATGGCTCCAGGAAAAAAACCTGACCAATCGTAGTCTTTTCATCTTTACTACAAGTTGTCGCACATGGAACCTTCAATTTTGCCATGATATGTCCCAGGGGTATAGAGAGTATTTTTAAACAAAGCTGTTATTTATAGAAAAGTACTTGCTATATGCAAGTCCTCTTGGAGAGGTATTTAATAAATACAGTTGACCGTTATAGAAAGATTTTTGTTCAATACAGGTGACCGTTATAGACAGGTATTTATTAAATACAGATGACCTTTGACATAACTTCATTCCTCACTAACAAACTGCATTAATCATTTTATCTTTACCTGCTGGCAATATGAACACCGCCATCTCATAAAACAGAGCAATATGTATATAAATAATATTTACGGGTGAGCTGACTTTGAGAGATTGCATAAAGCAAGAAATCTATGGGCCCTGTATCGCTCAGTTAGTTTACGACTGGCGGGAGACCTGTTCTTTTATAAACCGACAAATCACACCTAAAATAACACCTGACCTTGGAATTGACCTCATGTATATAGGAATATGCAGCTCAGTGAGCTCTGTCAGTTTCAAACCCTGATCTATAAAGATCTCTGGTGTTTAGTGACCTTTATATGAATTCCATGCCTGGATAGAATATGGCGGAATTTCCAGAAAAAATGAGTTTGACTGACGGATATTTACTCACCAAGTCTGTCTGATGGTGAATATAACTAACACATTCATTTTCAGACTCATGAACCAGTGCAATTAAAGACCCAAGTTTAAATGTAAGGTCACGTGCACCAAGCCAGATATATAAAATCTGACTATCAACCAAATTGGTAAGGAGTCTAACTAAATATTTGTATGATGTATCAAAACGAGCTCCTGGTTCAAATAAAAATCAGAAGTCCCCAAATGTTTAATGGGTTCTGGCATTGGCAAACCAGAGGCCAGAGATGATATTAAAGGCCAAAATTATTCTATTAGATTGATTAGTTGGACAGTCAAATGTTAGTTAAATTTTTACCCAAGGCAAAACAATTCAAACTTTAACTGATATTGGGTCGCAGATTCCCACAATTGCTAGGTCTAGATATGACTTACTCGATGATAAGCCTCTCATTAAGGACTTGGATACATTAGATCTTCAAGTTACAGTAGCAAATGGATCATCATTACCTTAGTCATATAGATTGTACTGTTATCTTACCGTTTTGTCCATGTTTGGATTTTAATATACTTATGCTAGTTGTACCTAATACTTCTCACAATTAAAATTGTCCTGTTATTGTTGGCACAAACATTATGAGGTTTGCTAGAGAGTTGTTATCTTCAGATGCAAACATTCCTCCTGAGTGGAAAATAGCTATCATTGGTATAAATACTGTTAATTTGGTACATTGTATAGGTAAGAAACCTGTACAGGTGACACCTTACTCGACAGTTGTTGTCAATGGAATAGTCCGAGGTGTGGATACAAATGTTGCTGACTTAGTCACTGAAAACTGTAACTGTACAAACCAACCTTACACTGTTTGCCCTCGAATTATCAAGGTCAAAGTTCAGGTGTCAAGTGTCAAGGTCCCGGTTATGTTGTGTAACGCTACCGGAAAGCCTATGAATATATGGCCTAAAATGTTTTTGTGTAATGTTTCTCAGGCTGAAGTTGTTGATAATTTAGCATCTGGTATTCATCAAATTTCATCTGAGCAGGCTGAAAGTCATTTATTAACTGAGTGGCTCAATGTTGTTGTTGATACTGATACTCTTACCGAGCCGCAATGGTTCACCAAGTGCTCGGAAACTGGAAACATGGTTTTTCAAGTGGTCATTTTGACTTAAGCATAAGATCGAACTTGTCAATGATCAACCCTTTAAACAACCGTGCAGGAAAATACCACCCGGTATGTACGAAGAAGTTCGTCAGCATGTAAAGATACATGTTAGATACAGGTGTCATCAGGGAGTCAAACAGTCCTTATTCCTCCAATGTCGTCTTGATTAGGAAAAAGGATGGCTCTCTGCGGTTTTGCATTGATTACCGAATGCTTAACTCGAGAACCCGTTAAGATGCATATATGTTGCCTCGATTTGACGATACTGTGGACTCATTAACTGGGTCAACGTATTTTAGCAAATATGATGATGTTGGTCACCAAGGAAAGGAAAAGACACTCTGGTTGGCTAGGCAGCGGTTTTACTGGCCGAGTTTGGAGAAAGATGTAAACGAAATAGTTGAAACCTGTGGCGGTTGTCAGAGACGCAAGACTCCAGTCAAACCTAAAGCAGGACTGGTTCCCATTCAAAGTTCTTGACCATTGGACATTGTTTGAGCGGTCAAAAGGTGGGTTTGAAAACATCTTGGTCATTACTGATCATTTCACTAGGTATGCCAAGGCAGTGTCGTGCCGAAGTCAGAAGGCATGTGACAGTTAAGGCGTTATATGAAATTTTCATCGCCTTCTACAGCTTTCCTGCGCGTATACATAGTGATTAGGGACGTAACTTTGAAAGCAAAGTAATCAAAGAGCTCTGCAAGCTTGCAGCAGTCTCTAAGTCTCGAACCACACAACAAAGTTGAATGGTTCTACAGAACTTTGTTAGCAATGTTCGGTACCTTAGAGCATGACCAGAAAGTTGACTGGAAATCTTAGGTAGCGCCTCTCGTTCAGGCCTACAATGCCACAAAGAATGACTCCGCCGGATATTCACCCCACTTCTTAATGTTTGGGTGGCACCCCGCCTGTCAGTTGACGCATTCTTTGGTACAGAACCTAGGAGTGAGGCAGCAGCAGAACCAACTTCATGTGTTGGTAAGCTCAGAGATAGGATGCCTATAAAGCTGCTCGAACAGAGGCATCCAAGAATTCTGCCCGCAACAAAGACAGGTATGATCGGTCCATACGGGTATCTCGGCTCAATTTTGGTGACTGTATACTGGTTAGATATGTCGGTCTCCAGGGAAAGCATAAATTAGCTGACAAATGGGAACAGGAACCCTATTAGAGGTTTGAAGATAACAGATAGTGATATTCCAGTCTACCAGGTGAAACTTGAATCCGGCAAAGGTGGCGTACGCACCCTGCACAGAAACGTGTTGTTGCCCTTTAATTCTATGCCTGTAGACGCTCCTGAGGAGGTAGCTGTTCCCAGAGCAAGACCCTCCGTTCCAGTTACAGCCGCGAATGAGAATTCATCGTCTGCTGATACCGACAGCAGTGACGACTATGCTCCTATTCCTCCTTCACGTCCAAAGAGGCGTTCCAGGGTCCAGAATGTAAAGCCAGCGGAGCCAGTCCGTGAGGTCATCACCCTGGATGATACTCAGCTCACGGTGAGTGATAGTTCTTCCTGTGAAACAGTTTTTGAAGAAACTGAGAATCTTGATATGTCCATACCGGAAGTCCGCCCGCCTTTTCCGGAAGTTGGGGCTACTGCACAGGGCACCTCACCGGTTCCACCGAGGCGCTCCACACGGAGCCTTAAACCTCCAGACAGGTTTGGTGAATAGACATATCATTCCCAACAGGTAGGGTGTAGTCCTGGTTACAAGGAAACGTCAGAGTAAATAAAGCAACTCGGACTGTCTATTCCATGTGCCAAACTGTTGCATTATTTTAGCATTTTGTTTGTGATTTTTATCCTTGGGTCTTTTCCTACATATACCAGCAGGTCGGGCTGTCCCCAACCACTGGATCGGGATCTTGATCCATGTCATTCATGGTCATTGATTTTTAATTAAATCTATATTTTACCTACTGCTGCTTACAACGAATTAACAGGGGTTTACCTTATTTCTCAGATTTGGTGCTAATACTACCTTTACTTGTGAAGGTAAGGGTATGATAATTAATGGAGTCTAGTATTCATTACTTATTCCATGGCTTCAGGGTGTAGTAATTTAGTTACAGGGTCTCTGCATGCCCAGGAACTTGTGACTGTGCTCTATGGAATGAATCCATGTCGTAGGTAGCACAACTGATGGTATATCTTCCATTTATTCTATTTAAGTTGGAATAAACTAGGATCTATGTATGGATAAAGAAATGCCAGGAGTCATTTTCCAAAGCAGGGGAATATGTTACCAGGTGTACGTAATTCTCTATGTCACCAGCGCGCGCGTAATTAGCACAAGCTGTGACAGGCTGTGAGAGTTTAGCATGCGCGTGTTACGAAGCACCTGTCCTCGGATTCCAGTCACGTCATTCCGCACCTGGCCAGCACTGTGTGCTTATGCACAAACTCCCCTGGTGAGTTTTGGTCCAATATGTAATAATGCGTTGTAGGTTAATTATAAGTAACTGTCTTATGTTATATGTAACTGTAATGCATGTACTGTGCATTGCAGGCTCTTGTGTTACCAGAAATAAAGTGCGGAACAAGAACCCCCGACGTCTTTGTCTTCTGTTAAATGGCCTTGCACATCTATTGAAATTCAAGCATGATGGCTTTCCCAACAACGAGTCACAATGCGTGAAAATGTGTAGTTGGGAGTTAAAGGGTGAACACTTATCAATTCAGTTTAGCATACTAGGTTACAACAAAGTGCAAACACTTAAAAACCAACATGTAAAGCTTAACTGTAAAAAAAAAGATACACACATTTATAGCACCTGAACATATACAGGTAGATAACAAACCCAAACGTAATCAAACATCAAACGATAAGACGGAAAGGATTGCCATTTCTCCCTGACCAACGTATTACTTTTGTTTCTAATTACATAGCCTTGTTTACTCTTGATCAATACAAAAGCATATACATGGACTTTACTACACGTCAGATTTACTGTAGAATGGCAAGTTTGTTGGCCATAAGGGATCGCCTTATACTTAAAGTTATTCAAGGAATTAAGGTGTTTCGGCTAGAATTTTTTACACAGATTTGTTTACTGAATTGTCGTCCCAAAATCGAATGTCCTGCGGATGGGCGTGGTGAAAATTAGCCCTTCACCTCTTATCACTTTATACATTATCGCAATTCACATTATAGAACGTTCACTCTCATCGCCAATTAGACGCAAAGGTGTATTACTGTTGTGGACACCAGTGTTCGTTACAATGACCTGAAGTCGATAAATGCTATCTTATGATAGGGAAAGATACAGATATACTATAAACTTACATTTTTTCGCGGTTATAAATTTTCGCGATACTAAATCGAACGCGATATTCAGGTAGTTAAGAGTAAACTATTGAAGGTTGAGTCCTGCTATGGGTAACTGTATAGTTATGTTTAGTATTTTCAATAAAAATAATGTACAGTACAATAGTCGCATGGTTTCGTTGTACTTAACTTAGGACTTACTTATTCCGTAATAACTCAAGCCTAGATCTTCTATTTTATGATATTCTTAATAATAAGGATGTAATGTTAGATTAAGATAAAAATCGAACCGACTCGCAAACAAACAACCTTCAGCTTTTCATAAAGATGCGTGCGATTACATTGTGTATGGTTTATCACTATTTAAAACTGCATTTGCGAATATTACGGATTGCAAATAAAGAGGAAAATTCGTGAAGTTATTACTTAAAAGTGATCACACGAACATTAAGAAGCATCCATTTAATGTTTACATATATAATTTATACAGAATGTGTGTCCGTACACTAAGGCTGGTTACGTGTGCCTCTTTGTAAACAAAACACTTATCTGATATATCTACAAGTGTCCAGCCTATATTTCAATTGCTTAACTAGGAAATAGACTTAGTTGTACTTTCATGTATTTAGAAAATTAATAAACCCTATCCCACACTTATTTATAAGTTATTTCCAAATGCATATCGCCAACGATAGAACAGCACAACGTGCATGCAAATGTGTGATAGATTATTTTTGCCCAACTTTCCAATCGTACGCCATCGTGCAGACATTGTACGCACATCACACATTGTATAACGTTGTGCAATTCCCCAACTGCATAATGCTTTACTGACGTGAATAGTAAATAAATCTTAAGTCAAAAGAATAAAGAGAAACAAGTAATCGGATAACACTGTACAAAAAGTACAAGGAAATTGATATCAAATATCAAATTTATCGTCAGATATCTATAGAACGATTCTCTTAATAAGTTCCCGTCTTCTTTTATATTTTCCTCCTAGATATTAGAGTTAAAAAAATCTACTTGTATTCTACTCACCTTCCGTATCTTCTTGGTCATTGTAATAGACACTAATTACACCCTGTAATACCAGCACTATCCCGGTCATAGTAATGAAAAAGAGTATTTTTTTAGTTGACATTTCGATGGACTTAACGGCAAGCAACTCAAGAGATGGTAGTCTTGGATATTTGGATTAGCGCTTCCAAAATGGCTGCTTTTCACGCATACTTTTCACATACACCTTGTTTGCCTGAAAAAAAAATCGCGCTTAGATATTGTCGTCGAGATCTGTCACAATGTCAGATTGTGAATGAATACATTTTTCGTCATGAAAATCTGAAAGTTACCTCTTGTTTCAATACTATTTTGATAAGAATGCTGTTCTATTTGGTATTCTTCCTGCCGGAGATTCCGTATGATCGTAACTCATGGAATTTCGAAAATACTCTTACTAAACAGTGTAGCCTAAGAATACCATTTGGGTTTTATTCCTCTTTCAAAATTCACAAATCCAAACAAAACTTAAAACGGAGTATACAATGTGGAAGAAATAACGACATATATTTTTGAAATCATCGTTAAATTATATCCTTATATGATTTGAGAATGCCGTCTTTTGTTTGACATATTTTATAGTTACAGTATTGCACAAAAGAGTATCAGAAAATTATGTGCGTAATTCACTGCTCCGTCAGAACTTAGAAAATATATACTTACTTATATCTGGAAAGTTAATCACATTTCCCTTGTTAGTCCCAAGAGACACAGCCTCCTTTCAGCGGTATGTGTCTTTCACACAATGGTTACTGTTCGAACTACTTACAGGATAACGTATGTGTACACATTTGATCGTATGAATAGATTTGGGTAGTAATATCACTGCCTGGGAACTGTCACGTCGAGTTAACAGTATGAATGTTTCCTTATGTGCTCTCTAGATCAATAGGATAATATGTATACCGTCGGGGATTGGCTGATATTTAAACTACATGCGACGGTAGGATGCCTTGTACTTACCTAGTCCCAAGTGAGCGAGCGAGACAGTGAGGAGTCAATGTTAATAAACGTCACACTTCGATCACTACAGTCAATAATGACATGCCCTAATTCCGCAATTTTTCATTGCACTACCTGTTTAATGTTCACATAATTCATAATGATTTTTTTTTCTTTTGAAAAAATTCGGCAATTCGTGAGAGAGAGAGAGAGAGAGAGAGAGAGAGAGAGAGAGAGAGAGAATTTAGAGAAGGGAGTACAGATAGTGGCTAGAGTGACTAAAGAGAGTGTATTGACTGTCTATGCCTCACCTGCCCTCTCTCACATTTCGGACCTGCTGTGTTGAAAACTGCTACTTAGACTTAATAGACCAAGTGAATCTGGGTTGGACTTTCAACGTCTTTATATTAGGTAACTCGACAGAGCTGCTCTCCTACACTTCGTCCTTTCGTTATCTGTATAACAGGTGGACAAATGTATCAAAACAAAACTTCACACTCCCCCAAACCCCCACCCCCACCCGCAACCCCACCCCCCACCCCCAACCGCAACCCCACCCCCTGACAAGCGCTACTTTGGGTACCACTTACACCCACTGGTACACTAGTTAACAACACTACAATGTATATTTGCATGTTGGCGATAGATGAAATACATTACAAAACGTATAGTAAAAAACATATGGAGTAGCTAACATACATACACGTATACATGTCCATCTGGAAAAAATGGTCGTACACATAAGGAACTGAGCTGCAATTTACCGTATTTTACCGTATCATCAACGCTTCTTCTTCTCACATTCTGCAATTCAGTTACACTATCAAAACACAGGTAATGTCGAGTGTTCTTTTTAGAAATCTACTTAACAATCACCAGTTAATGTAATATGCAATGCATACGACCACAATTTGGGTGACAGATTGATGGAATGCCACCTGTTTACCACCTTGGTTACCTCGTATGTTGTGGCATAAATTAGAAATTTATGGTAAATCACGTGTTTGACAATCAGATTACTCTCATCATTTATAGCTTAATAAAGTCACTTTTATTGTTCGTGTAGTGGGCTATATATATATATATATTGATACCAAAAGTGACCGGCGACCATATTGCTAACCCGGCAGATATCTAGCTGTATTTTATAGGGACCGAATAATTTTATATAGTAGTATATAATCTCATATACTACAATTTAGTCGAATGCACCACAAAAAATTTAAATGTAGCATGTAAATACCTTGCTCCTTGAAGTCCTATCTCCAAATTAGAATCATACAACAAGCATATTAGGCCAGTCCTGTAGGTATCGTGTCATGATGTTTAAAATGTAACATGCATGTTATGATCGATGCGATGGTAATGTGTATGCTGATCACGATATTCAAGTAACGAAAAATGAAACCTTACCCGAATCTCAGGCCAGACTTCACGATTTACAAATTATATTGCCCAACATGGAAATTCCACAATAAAACCACCATAATATTCCCCAATACGGGTTAGGTATTATTTCTCGGGTTACTTTGTTTTCGTTGAAATTTAATAGACAAACAGTCATACCTGCCAACATTTAAAAATCATTATCATTATTACTTCCTCCAAGAGCGAAGAGTTATACAAAAGACCACATATACAATTACATTGCATAAAATAACTCTGAGTTTGTACACACATATACACATAAGAAGCATTTAAATTGATTCAATGTAAACAATAGACACAGAATTTACGTACGCATAATATATATACTAACACGAAAAAGAAACGCCGGGTATACTAAATATACTACAAATGATTTATTGCTTGGTCTAGAATAATAAAAAATTATTTCATGAAATAAATACATTTGTGTTAGATGGTTACTTTATATATTCATGTATATATATATATGTATAATTGTCATAATCCTACAGATGTTCTTCACATTATAATGTTATGTAAGATGGCTCTTGCATGATTTTGTTATTTGGAATAAGATCTTGAACTCTGACCACCTGGTGACCATCTGTGACCGCGTCATATCTTCATATCTGCTGCTGTGATTACGTTTAATATCTTTCGAAGTCCCACCCATACCACACTCCCACATTTTGTCTTGAGCCAGCTTATATATCCATGTTTTTTTGGGTTTTTTTTTTTTTTTAAATTCAAACTTGTGTTTGTATGCCGATAATTTGTACCCCATCTTTTTGTTGTACATATAGACTGAAGTTTATGTCATTCAGATCTATATATTATATAACAACAGTGATTGATATTATGGTTGTATTTGAAATGTTCCTGTCATTTGATAAATGACCAGCCGATAATTTGTACCCCATCTTTTTGTTGTACATATAGACTGAAGTTAATGTCATTCAGATCTATATATTATATAACAACAGTGATTGATATTATGGTTGCATTTGAAATGTTCCTGTCATTTAATAAATGACCGTTTGACAACATTTCTTTTCACTGTTGTTGTTTTTTGTTTATAAGACATGTACAACAAATAACAAGCTGCAGTCTCTGAGCTGAGTTACCGTGCTAACACAAATGACATTCGGTCAGGTTGATGTGTTGTTCGCGGTCACTAGGTACACGTGTTTAAAATTACACAATACCTGACCTCCGCGCTCCGTGCGAGGCACGTGCTAAAATACAAGAATCCCGTGCAGGGGAAGGTCATTGAGTTCGCCAATGGAAATTTTCATTTCATTTCAGTAATAATTACCATAACTTTAGTATGCAAATACAGTACCTACACCCATCTTGGTATCCCAACAACAAAAGATTCAAAAGAAAAACAATCCCGCCCTCCCTACGATCCATGAGCAATCACGGCAGGAACGCAGAGTGATCTCCCTTCCTCTTACCTTTATGGCTGCCGACGAGTGCGGAGGTGTCTGAGCTAAGTGCTTTTCTTACTCCTTCTCTTCGTACTGCCATTGTCGTTTGAGTATATTGTTACTCTATTAGTAGTCTATAAACCCATCTCCCAACTTATAATGTGAAATTAAGTATTGTCATTTGTTTATTTTGACCGTATTTCCGGCCGTTTTTTCCTCCACGTATTCGAGTGCGTGACTATTTGTCTCGTTGCTCGGATTTGCGTGAAGTTGGAATTTGTTTTCTTGCTGCTTTGTCGGCCGTGTTGTACGACCGTTTTATTTATGCAGTGCAATCTTGCTGCGTACGGTAGGTTTTATGCTCTCGTTCGTAGTTTTTTGATTGTTAGAAAACTTTTTGTCCTTGTTTTCATTGTTACAATTTTTTATTGTTTCGATGATGGATAATAGTGCCGGGTTTACGTCGGAGGTCAGCGCATGGATGTTCCTATTTCTATAGATAATGGGAACCCCATGATACCTGTCCCATTTGCCGACATTGCAGCCAGACCTCGCTATGTGAACTTTGTTTGCACATGGAGTCTGCTGCTTAGGCTCCCATGCCTTTCCAGCTAACTTTCCGCCGGAAGAGGGATTCGTCCTCTTGTTCCGGTTAGAGAAGTAAGCTTTTTAAGACCTCCTCCTCAGGTTCTGAACCAGAGCGTTCCTGCTGGGGGTGCTCTCGTTCCACCGAGCTCCGCCCTTCAGCAGGAGGTGGCTCCCCTGTCCAGGTGCGTCCTGGATTAGGGGGGGGGGCAGCCCGACCCTGACTCGGCGCAGTCAAGGGTCGAATTGGCCGGTAGCTCTCGGTAGCCGGCGGTGTTACCGTCGGAAAGGGACTTCCGGTCGAGATCTCTGATTCCTTCAGGGACCTCGGTGCGCAAGGTGGCGTCGTTGGTGGGGGCCGCTTTGACTCCGGAACTGTGCCTTCGGGTATAGGGTCAGGGGCCACAGACTTTTTGTCAGGATTGTCTGTGGCTACGGGGATTAGTGACACTTGAGTTCACTAATCCTGGTGTCAGCGCGGGGTCTGTTTTCCCACCCTCACAGGCTTCTGGCTCTGGGACTTTCCGTCCCAGTCCAGATTTCCCAGTGCAGGGTTTCCCAGGGGGTTTTCCCCCAAGGGTTTGGGGCTTCAGGCTAGGAGTCTGGTTTCCGGTCTCCCTTTCCCCCGGGCTCAGGGAGTAGGGGCGCCTGCGGGCACTTATTCCTAGGTCGCCCAGGCCAACCTGCGGATGGTTTTGGGTACCAACAGTTACTCAGCAGT